TGGATGCAATTCTACTCTAAGGACAACAGAAATAGGTCACCAAAACTGTGCGTACTTAATTCCGAGAAGGAATGGGAAGACTAACTTCTGAGGAAAGCAGGATTTCAAATCTCTCTTGCTATTCAACTATTGAGAAAAGTGCTTTTAAGGGATATTGGCAGTGTGTTTAGTACCAATATTGAGGATGGCATTATTACGTTGCTGACTTTTTAGGACTTTAAATATCCGGAAATCGGACACTGGAAATCTTTGTTGATCGTTAAAAAGAGGAATAACTATTTTTCCTTTGTTTCCACTTAAATTGACATACTACTGGGTAGTCTCACACTTCAGCGTTTGCGCTCGAGTTGACTTGAAATGATGACTTATAATTTTGGAAACAGGAATCGTTATAGGTTGGCCGCTTTATCAAATAACAGAGGCTTAGTGACTTTATTTAAGCTAGTTTCTAGTTCACCCTGGCATATCAAAAAAAAGCGTATTTGAGTATTTACCTTCCTACTTGAAATTAGTCATGAGAGTAGCCATTCAAATCGTTAACTTAATAATAAGTGGGTATAGAAACCCCCCAGGTTAAGGGAGAGTGACAGAACAAGGAGTCTAAAATAAAGGAAGCATTAATTTTACCACATCCTAAAGGTTGGAACAAAGGATATTATACGTCAAGCCCGTAGGCTGTATTGGGGATATAAACAAATGCGTTAGAAGCATTGCTTGGGAAATAGAATGACATAAATAGGAAACGGAAAAATTTAAGAGCTTCTATCTATACAGCTAAGATAATTAATAGGCAATGTATTTATCTTGATAATGTCCCATTTCATTTGATCCTTAATAGCGTAGAAAATAGGATGTTTCGCATACAACATGAAATGTTAAATTGATTGGCTACCTTGTTAGTAAGTAGCAAGTCTTCATTTGTACTAACTAATAGTTCTGTAAATTTAAAAATGGGAGAATGTCGATGGGATAAATAGTAAAGTAATAAATAATGACGGTTCTAATATAGCAAGTTGACATGAAGGAAAGGAGGGAAGGAAAATGAGTCAGTGCAGAATGTGGCATGAGTCAGCATACCTTTAGCGAGACCACAACAGCGGGAAATTAGAAATCGTGAATGCCATCTTTTTCCAACTTACAGAAAGCGTGATGTGGTGAACAAAGGAGACAAACGACTGCAACAAAGTAGGACCCATATATATCGGCAAATAAAGAAAACTCTAAGAGAAAAACAACTTTACGAACAAAGTGCAAAAGAGCACAGGGTATTAACTACTAACTTATATAAAGATGAGAGACGCTACTACCCAATCCGTTTAACCCTTCAAGCCCATTTTGGAAGGTGTTTTCCAGTATATCTTGGACAACGGACCAACAGAATAGAGCCCCTCCTATGAGAGAGGCCAGACTTAAATAGCGGCTCCATTCTGCCACTGGTTGTAAAACAATAGAAGCCGCACCTAACTTCCTGCGATCGAATGGAACAAGTAATGGCACAAAATTATTTTGGAACTGAAGCGATAGCTTGAAAAGCATGTGTGACGACAAACTCGGAAAGGTCAAGGAAATTATTAGGCAATTCATTATACACGCCCAGAATAGGCATGATTGGACCTAAATAATCAACAATTATTTTCTGTGAAATGACTATAAGGACAGTCTCTTTCTCACAGATAAACCGAACGGATCCTACTTTGCGAAATACAAGTATATAAGACTGTTTAGAAATTTACTACCCTCAAGGGCGATATACTGGCCTTAGTCAAAGAGAGTAGTTGTGAGTAATTTACTAAACAATCCTAATGCTAACACAGCTTATGCTTTACTACTTAAGTGTGCCATCCAATTCCAACGACCACGGAAGTACTAAACCGCCGAAAGGAATGGCACACCGTCACAGAATGCATGCGGTCAATACACTCATGTAGGTCGTTGTCATGCCAATACAATACCACTGTGATTTATGTATGCAACGTATTCAGCTCACGATATCTTGGTAGCTCTATTAGTCAATTGGAGTAGCCAAGGCATTTATGAGTGGCATGTATACGGCCACCATGATGGGCCTGGAAGGTCCACGCCTCGGATCCCACAACCAATCACGATCAAATCTGGCCTGAGAGAAGAAGAACAAAGCAGCATTAAAAATCCCTATGATCATTTCACTGAGTCTGCGTCAAGTGGAAGTTATTCATTATAAAATAGTCGCCACTTAGTGTTATACTAATTGACTTCACAAATTAACAGCTTCCCACAGAGCAACGGTTACATGGAATTTAATCAAAATATTGGCATTTTAAAGGGCACACTGTTGTTAAAAGATTCAATGGGAGGAGAAAACGTTCACTCTAAGGTAATTATTTAACACAACTTAATGAACATTTCTCCGAGTTCATAGTTGCCTATTTTTTTTCTACAAAATGAAAATTAACCACGAATACCGTCGTATGTCCTTCTCTTCCCAGAACACTGAAGATTAAAGAAGCAATGTGGTGATATACAATAAACAGACGCACCGTCAATTCTTTTAAATATACACAGCATAATTTATTCAAGCTGACCCAACAGTAAAAATGCCTTAAAACTAATTTGTGTAGAATTTGAGGAAACAATAACTGAAAAATCTCCAGAAAGGACAATAGGTTTAAGCCCCAATAGGCTGAAAATGTATCCATAATAAAAATTGAGACTGGATTGTTTTAACAGTTAATCATAGTGAGTGGCTTTAAAATTGAGACAACTCGAGACAAAAACAAACCACGTGAGTTAAAAATGATAACCTCAAAACTTAGCTGCAGCTTAACACAGTACCCATAAGTAGCTAAAGGTAAAGGAGGGCCAAAGGTACGAAGACTCGAGGACTACGCATCTTACATTTCCAATTTCCTCACATCTCCTTTCTAACGCATGACTCTCATATGATGGTTGATCACCTCTCTTCTAATAGACATTCCAAATGAGTGGCGCATTTTTAGACAAGTGCTTGAAGAAATACGTGAGAAAGAAGCAGTAACTTTCGAAAGAAAACTGGCAACTGAAAAGAACAAAAGAGGAGGAAAAGCTGCCTCGGCCAAATAACTAAGGCCGTTTCAGAAAGAAATTACTGATGCTAACCCGAAGGATAATTATAAGAAAACAAAAGTTAAGGTGGAATGACAATACGGAAAATAGGGAGTTCAGGATAAGTCTATCAGAATATTATTCGGCCAATCTTCGAGTTGTGTCAAAGGCGTTCACACATACACACAATACTATTCCTTCAAAGGTTAAATTGTTTCTTCAATCAGGTACGCGATGGCAATAATGCAAGAGAATAACTTGTATCATGGTGATTCGTGCCGGCTAGCAAAATAAAGGGATTATGGTGGCTGCGAGAAGAATCCGGCGTGAACTCTAAACTGCGAGGATGTTGAAGCTAGAAATGAGTAACATAGCAGACTCTCTGGTATGACTGAATTCTCGCAGCAAGTTTTCTCGAAAATTTGTAATGGAAAAAAGCGTTGGAACAACCCAGCACCAGAACTCGCGCTATGTCACTACAGCTAAGGAAGTTTGAACTCAACGAAATAGGCCTTCGTTACTACTAGTCGCGGTTGCGTCATAGAGGTCAGGACAGAGAATAAAAGATAGCTTAGATAGAATCCGACCAAGGATATGCAGGGTATATTTGCCCATTCAGATGTCCTCCTACGCTGAGAATGGTGTGATGCCTCCCTCAAGTAGCTTCCAGGTAACCACATGGAATTGCTGGCCCCTAAGGCAGTCAAATCCTGGATAACTAACGAAGGTAGCCAATAATGGGAAACGTCAATGTTGACAGCAAGATTTGACCCCGTTACAATTCAAGTAAAAGTTAAAAATTGTTATAAAAAGTAACGTGCTCCAGTTGTAGGGTAGGAGAAAAGAAAGAGTGATATCATTGGTGCCTCGATGATTATTAGCTTCCAGCACTGGATAATAGTCCGTGAATAGTTATAACAGCAAAAAATAGAAACCGGCAGGAGATGAAAGAATATTCAAATTGTGATACAAAATATCCCAAAACTTCAAGATGTTAGTTCCAAAACTGCTCCAACCAAGAAGGAAATTCACTCGAATTTAAAATTAGAACGCCAAATCTTTTCAGGAGATTTCAAAAGCCCATTAAATAGAAGTTCGATCGGTAACATCTGTCCTGTGCTAAAAATAGCAGAATCTGCTACATGTTGCAATTTATTTCAAGTTCAAGAAAGGAAAATAGGAAAACAATAGAATAATATCCAGATCAAATTAGGGGAGAGAGGGGTATATGGGAAAAACCAGAGATCCGGAAATAATATATGCGAAGGAGGGGGGGGGGGTGTGGGAATAGATGGTCCATTTGCATTGCACGAAATAACCCGAATCTAGGTCATACTAAACTATATGTACTTTATCAACTGAATAGGGCTAAGAGGAAGGGAAGGAGCGACATTGTAAAAAGATATGCGATAGACGGCTATTCAGACAGCCACTATAAACAACTGCGCACAGTCGGAAGGCATAATAAGACAAAGGTACTTATGATAAAAGTCGAAAAAGATAAATAAACATGACTCTTGTGAAGACCTCAATTATTAAATATGGACAAATAAGGTACTAAATGATCCAAATCTACCATAACATCAAAAAATGATGAAAATTAATATTAAATACCATAAAGAACGGTGCAATTAAGTGTGACTATAATTGCCATTGTGGACAGCATTTACTCAAAATATACAATATATTTTATAAATGGGAAAAAGGGTCTGTTCATAAAGCGTCTCTCAAACAAGTCCTGCAAAAAAACAGCTTAACAGCTTGTTTCAAAAGCATTTCCAATAATCAAGACTTCGTATACAAATGCATATCGAAAAGTATCTTAGAAAAAAAGAATCAAAAGCTTTTTAAATAAGAAAGGCAAATTATTTCAACCTTGCATATAAAGGTTTTGCTAATTAAATTATTTAGAGCCCATGCTAATGGCCAAAATTCTTTACCTGGACACCGAGGCCACATTTGAAAAGACAAGGACCGAATACTATGCCGAGATTAGCAGCTGACATTTTTGTAGATTCTTCATTCACCAATATTTCTTTCAGGAAGTGACATACATAACGAAGAAGGTTATAATTTTCTTCTGGAAGGTTTTTAACAACATTTCTAAGTTTCAGCACACACTGAGGCTTCTCATCCTTCAGTTGGTCCATGATCTATAAAAAAAACAGAGATTGAATTAACAAAATATGTTTAAAATACTAATAAATGAATAAACAATGACTATTCACCTTAACGATTTGCCTGGTAGAAACGTCAGGAATAATTCCATCGGGAATTTCTCTGAGAAAAAGTTTCAATACACCGCAAATCGCATGAATATCTTCGCAGTCCGAACCATTGAGATCCTCGGCACTTGTAATATCAAATTGTGCCTTCAAGCTTGCTATTGCCTTGGTACTTCCGTTAACACGGAAGATGCCCTCAGTTTGGAGTCCATACGCCAATATAAATTCACAAATATTCTCCACAATACAGGGCACAAAGGTTGATTTTTTGTAGATAAGACATTTGAGAGGAACTCCAAAATTGCGATTCCTATCCGTTAAAGATTTTCTTTTCAACAGAGGGCTGTTGAGTTTTTGAACGATTCGCTCCATGGAGCATGAAATGTGTCAATAAAATTAATGTTTACGATAAAATAGGCCAATCAATTCAATAAGAGCGGCAATTTGTTTTTGGACAATGTGTTAAGGTGATTTAATCTATAGGTTTAAACAATTTTTAAAGGTGAAACTATTCTTATGTCAATATGCTGTTCATAATTTTAATAAGCTATCATTGAGTTCTTACCTTGTATATATTGTTTTATTAAGTTATTTTAATATATAATTGACTCTCAAAGCTCTATGTTACTTAAACATTGTTAATTCGTTCCTGATATTAAGGTGCACATATATATGTGGAGAAATCATCGATATTAAAATGAATGTTTAATTTTCTTTATATGTTTATCAAAACTTTTTAAGTTCGAATTCTTCAGTATCTTATTCATATGAACGTATATGTTCAAATATATTCTACTGTACCTAGTTTTTTTCATATGGTTAACCTAAAGACAATCTTTTTCTATTCCTACATATTTTTTAACGTAGGAATAATCTCTATTGTAATTTTTTAAGACATCAAAATGAATATCAATTCACAGATTTAGATCTTTGAAATCAGATTAACTTTTGGAAAAAGAATATTTTAATCATCGTAGAAGTCAGAAGTAATATGCTAGGTAACCAATAGCGCGAAATTAGTGAACGAAATATCCAATCGCATTGAAATGTAAGCCTGAAAAAGATGAAACTAAATTTGGCTTTCTCATCAGAATTGGTATAAATTCTTTGTCCAGAATGAGTTACGAATACATCTGTGTATAGAAGATCTAAATAGCAATCAGCTTCTTTTGCAAAGTATCAGGACACCCGATAATGCTGATGCACTTATGATATTGCATTTGTATACATGACTGGTAAATATTGATATTAGCACATTATTCCTACGAATGCGCAATAATTCATAATATCTAAAAGTCCAGTTAATGAAATAGAGCATTAATACTGTAAAATGTCACTCTAACCCTTTCAGCGTGTATTGATACACTTTAGTAAAAGTTAATCCATGGTCTTTAACTTATTTCTTTGCAACTTTTACCATTGCTTTCTGAGTTTTCTGTGCTTTGGTTTATTTCAAATAAGTAAGACTGGAGTAAAAGAAGGCCTCACATCACATTACGATCTAATCAAGAGTATGGGCTCGACGCAAGATATATGCGAAATAATCCGATTAAATGTTTGTAAATGTCAAAACCACTTCAAAATATACGTTGTCTATAATTCACCCCAGAATAGTCCCAACTATTATCTTCTGAACATTTCACACAAAACTGTAGTATTAGGAGACTTTAGCGCCCATTCCACCAGATGGGGCTATAAGAATACAAACATATCTGGAAAGGAAATCAAAGACATGCTTAACGGCAACTCTTTAGAACTTATTTATAGAAATGATGTCCTGCTACATATCTGCACTACAATAGAATCAGAACGACTCCTGACTTGCTCCTGGCTTCAAGCGACATCAGAACCGCAAAATAATTGTCGATCCTGATTCTGGTCACAAACCAGTTATTGGTATTATTACCAACAGCAACAAACGTATGACAACGAAAATGCCAACCAAGGTATCATGGAACTTCAAGAAGGTCGACTGGCCTATATTCTCAAACCTTTTAGAGATCGAACTTCATACAAGTCTCCTCAATTTCAACCAACATCATGACAAACATTGCAACAATATCACGAATATTATGATCAGATGTGCAAAGAAAACTATTCCCCAAGGCAAGATAAAACACTGCCGAGTGTTCTGATCTGAACACCTTGAGAAACTGAAGAGAAAGCGTGTTTTGATCTAAACACCTTGAGGAACTGAAAAGAAAGCCCTTCGAAACACTGCTGATCAGACTGGAAGAACGGAAGGCGTACAAACCTGGAGACGGCAGTCAGCTGTCCTGGGGCAAGCCATCTAACAAGCTACACGGACTACCTTTCACAACTTCATCTCAAATATCAACTATCAAAATGATACCCAACGCACTTACAAGTTTGGGAGGAAAGACCCAAGAAAGAATCAATACGCTTAAACAACAAGCTGCTTACCCCTGACTCCGAAATAGCTAACTACTTTACGAGGTTCTATTCCCACAAACAAAAAAAACCCTTTTGTCAGAAAATCTTCAAGAGATTTAAAAATACAAGTAAGACAGTCGGGTGAAATTAAGGAAGACATAGTAACACCAAATAATGTACTTACTGAACCATTCAGACCTTGCGAACTTAATGCTGCGATAAAAGAGCTCAAGTGCAAAAAAGTCTCCTGGTGAAGACGGTATTCATCCGGAATTTCTAATTAGAATGGGGCCAAATGCCAAGGAAACCATGCTGACACTTTTCAACAAAATTTGGGAGACCAGTCTCGTATCTACTCAATGTAAAGTTGCCATTTGTAATTCCAATAATAAAAAAGGGCAAAGGTCCTAGCAACTTTGACAACTATAGGCCTATCTCCCTCACAAGCCTGCTGGCTAAACTTATGGAAAGAATGGTTAACAGGAGGCTGACCTGGTTCCGTGAGACCAACAATATTCTTAGGAGTGAACAAGCAGGTTTTAAGCTACAAAGATCAATTAACCAACAAGGAGCCACTATCTCAAAGCGTATCAAAGATGCCATTGATGTTCTTCCAACACATCAAAGATGCCATTGATGCAAGAAATATCGGCTGTTTTCGTCGATTTCAAATCAGCATATGAATTAGTGTGGAAAGAGAAGCTAATTCTAAAATTGGCAAATAGAGGTATAAAGCAAAACATGCTAAACTGGATAAAAGCATTCATTGGACAAAGATCATTTAAAGTCAAATGTGGAAATGTTCTATCAAAATCCAATCTTTTAAAAACAGGCCTTTCACAGGGAGCCGTCACAAGCTGCACTCTTTTCAATGTCTTCGTCACTGACATAGCCGAATTAGTACAGACAGTCACGGGCATCAAGTGCTTACTTTATACAGATGATCTTGTTCTATGGTATTCCGCCCCTAAGAAAAACGCTCAGGAGAGGGCGGAATTCGCCCTAAATCATGCACTTAATCTATTAGCAAACTGGTGCGACAATAATGGAATGGTTACCAACACTACGAAAACTGCATTCCAAACATTTTCATTGGCCTGTCACAGCATAAACCCGCATTTAATGGACAAGGATACTTTCCTAGGAAAAACCAACGAGCTTACTTATCTTGGAATGACGTTGACACAAAGCTAACGTGGAAAAGTCACATTGCTAAAATAGCAGAACGAGTCTCCAATAGACTGGATGTACTGAAGCGTCTTGCTGGTAGCGTATGGGGCTGTGCACGCAAGATGTTTATTCAGCCAATAATGTTGCATTAAGGGGTGTGCGATAGACTTACCTCCATGTGGTGCACCCTGGGCAAAGTATATTTATACGGCAAAAAAGTCTATTGATTGGCAGTTGACTTCTCACTTCAAACTGCCATCACTTCACTCGATGCCATNTCACAGTACTCACCTCACCTTTGTTCTACCTTTGTGTTTGTCTCTTACATCTTTGAAACACTCTTCTGTCCCCCCCCCCTCTCGACTTTTTTCAATTTGATGTTCCTTCCCCTCTGTGAAGCCTGAAGTCAACTAAAGGGCTAATGATAACCATCAAGACGCCTGCCATTTGATATAAATAAAATAAATAAATGTTGCATTACTGTGAGCCACTCATTACAGCCACAGAGGTGACCCTCAAACCACTTGAGAAGGCACACAACCAAGGATTGAGACTAATTACAGGTGGGATAAAATCAACACCCATTGATGCAATTCTCCTGGTTACAGGGAGCACCGCAGTATGTTCCCTTATCAAAGAAAAGGCCTTGATCCTGTATGAGAAGCTACTGCGCATTCCCATGGATAAATTCTTCGGCACTTATGAGAATAGACCAATCCATCTGAAAACACAATCTGGTCTATTTCAGAAGGCCATAGAACTGAAGAAAGAATTACAAATCGATGACAAACCAAAAGGTCTCCCTCTACCCATGAACCCATTAGCAGACACTGATGTAGTGTGTTGCACCCAACTGCTTGACTACTTCAGGAAAGCAAACACCCCTCCAGAGCGAATGCGCTCACTGGCCCTTGAGACAATCAATGTCAACTATCCTACAGATCAATGACTATAATTTTGGAGGCATAAACCGGTCTATGTCTTTCCACGCAATGAAGGCCTTAATCAGGAGAGAATTCAAGACCTCAAGATGAAACGAACCTAAAGCTCGAACAAAGGAGACGTGGACAGGATGAAACGAACCTAAAGCTCGAACAAAGGAGACACAGTGGACAGCGACACACCCCGACATAGCCAACTGGCCAAGGATCGAAGCCGTTGCTGAGATAGGACTACGTATCGGACACGATTGCCTGGTGAAACACCTTCTCATTTTAGGAGTATACACTCAACCAACTTGCCCACTATGTGACCTACAGGAGTAAATGGAGAAGACCTACCCTAAAGACAACGACAGAAACCCAGAGATATTGGGAAGCTAGAAGACAATAGAAGAACTACTATTAACTGTCCTAACGTCTAAATATATGTTAACCCCCCCCCCCCCTTGTGAAAGCCGAAGTCGACTAAGGGACTAATGATAAATATCATAAAGCCTGCCATTTGAAAAAATAAAAGATACTAATTCAATATTGTTTACAATATTGTATGCATCTACTTTTAATGAAACACTCAAAGAGCTCTAATGAGGAGTCGATATAACCTCAGACACAAAGTGGATTGTAAAAATCTATCCAATTTAAATCCCAATTTTCATTACTGTTAAGGTATGTACATCTTTTACAACAACTTTTAACAGATAATTTAGCACTTATTGTAACTGCCTATGAGCAAATCGAATAAATGTTTTATAAATTTCTGTTTGAAACATGTGCCGTCGGTAAATGTTTTCTATTCTGAATAAATACGATGCAAAAAATTTAACTTATATTTAAACTCAATGTAAATTTGGGGAAGGAGGTATAGTCCAAAAAACACTTGTTAAAACGCTTCCTATCGTGTTAATGATCATTCACTTAATGCAAAGCAGTGCTTCCTCCCACATGGCAGACGACATTCTACAAAAATGTCAGCTATGCATTGGGCAAAATGTTAGGTGCTATCATTCCTAAAGGTAACAAATTGGGCTGAAATCTCGATTTGGTGAACCAATTTTGATTTTGAAATCCTATGCCTTATATATACACTAGATGCTTCCCACCAAAATGATAATAATAATAATAAATGAAAATAATCATTTCCCATATATTCATGCTATGCGTTCAACACCTGCAAATAATTAAAATTTGTCACGTGTGGAGGAAGTATCTGAATTAATTGAACATCTGTGTAGGCTACAGCATATTACTAGTAGTTTCAGTTTTAATTTACCTTATTCGTAGACAATGGAGGGGTTGTGAAGCTTCCCAAGATTAAATCACATAAATATGGCCAGTTATGGAGATTTGGATATACTAAGAGGTTCTTAATGAGTAATATAATTTGAGTAAATTATGAATTCTCACAGTATGTTAAACCTTTTATAAAAGCATGATAACGTTAAGGAAGCTTATAATTTGGGATTTACTATTTAGTGTAGCCAGGAAGAAAGAAAACTCAAGTTCTCTTTGTAATATTGATAGTTTCTCACAGGCCAACTAAAACTAAAATGCATTTTTTAATGATTCATATAATTAATTTATTGGATCCGTAATATATATAATAATAGTGGAAAGAAAACATCAAATATAACATCGAATTCGCGTAGGAATATCGTTGAAAATATTATTTGATTTCGAAAATAAATGAATATTTTACTCTTGATAGCTTAACGGGCACTCATGACAAAATCCGGCGAAATCAATTTTAAGCAAATGACTTGGTCTGTTTTTTTTTCAATGCACAGAAGAAGCCGTCTTAGAATGGGCATGATTAATTTGGAGCCATTAGGCGAGTCATTCTGATTGGTTGGAGATATTATAAACATAGACCACTCTTTTTCATCATATGGCCCTTATGCATGCCACGTGTAGTTGTTTTGTCCCGGAATGAATAAGTCATCTGGACTGCCTCCGAATCACCTATCATCCTTATTAGCAAGCTCATGAATTCCTGACGATTGTTTTGACTGAAACCATTACCAATCTGGCAGTGTTTCGATCCCCTAAAGTGAATAATGTGAAGGCGACTTATTTGTATCATCGGTTTCATTAATAGTGACATATTATTACCCACTTCTGTCTTAACTCAATCACCGGGTATGATTCAACTATAGCCTAACAGCAATTAATCAGCTGATCGATCAAAGTGACCGATACTAGGATTCCAAGTAGTGCATCAGTGGAGAAGAGTGGCCTTGATAACATTAGGTAATCTAAATCTTAGCCTGTCCAACTTTTAAAGTACCCTCTCACATCACCTATTATCATTTTACGATAATAAGAATTTTGACCCGCTTAAAAGGAGAACTTTTAAAGCAGATTATTTAAGATGGATGAAAATGAAATAGTTCCTAATAAATATTCAAAGGCATTAATTTACCAATGCTATCTAAAAGCAGTCCCTCAATTTTTATCTAGCCTAAAAAGACGGTGAACAGGGTTGAAAGCTCCGTCGTTAATATGCTGATTATTTTATAAAGAAAAGTATTGTCTTCATTTAGTACTTCACAGTTGTCATTGCATGGGACTCAAATGTTGCCGTTTGCCTGGATTTTACCGTAAAAAACCAGAAGGATGAAAAGTTTCATTTCTTTCAGTCTATTACATTGATTGGTAATTTCAGGTTCTTTGCTATTACCCCAACGTTATCATCTTTTTTTCCACAGGTGGAAATAATTTCATCTACTTTATCAACGTTTGTCTACAAAGTCGTGTTTATGTAGAAGTTAAGAAAATGAGATGAAATGACGCAACAAAGGTGTTTTGTCCAATTTATGGGCAGGCGGCTCCTTTAACCAGATTCATGGACATTGAAGACAGACACATTGCCGATGAAGAGAATGTCACTTTAAAACGGCTTGACTATCTTTCATCAATAATCTGTTAAAAGGCATCTGTATAGTGAATTGTTCGTAGATTTAAGTGGTGTCATACACTTCGTGTGCCATTCCACGAACTCAGGTACAGATAGGTAATACAGGTGATAGAGTACAGAAATACATTAAGCATGGCATTCAACTGGCACACCGAAATGAAAGATTCAGTCAAAATATTGAAGCATGCCTTCGGAGCTATGAGGCATAGAAGCTTTGGGAGCTCGTACAACAATGTAGTAGTGGCAATGCTGTTTTCTGTCCAATGGAAGTAATCATTGTTCCCGGCCTCCAGAATTGATTGACAGGTCATTACTATTCCTTTTCGTGTAAGTTTGTATATCAGTAGGACAAGAAGCAAATGACGTTTCGATGACTTAATTATTAAAAATATTTTTAAGAGATTTATGTAATAACTACTATAATGCCGTATGGAATATTTTCGGTGCGCTCGAATGACTCAGATAAGGTTCATACCCATGGCACTGAATGATCGATTATGAGATTTTTACGCTTTTATCTGGATATGCAAGGTATTCGTTGAAACGTTGATCGTTGCAATTGTTGGTTAACCATGCGGCCAATCATTTATTGAGTATCTAATTCCATAAAAGCGGTTAATTTTTTCATAAAACTGTAGAGAGTAGAAGAGTAGTGGTGTACTTAGAAAGCACAAAAATACCGATTTTCTAAAGCAGATGTAAGTGGCATTCGGAGGGGAGAAGGGTAAGAGGTGTGGCGAAAGTCATTTTAGCTTATACATTTCCATGTAAGCACATCGAAATCTTTTTGTTTCCATTCAACACCACCAAAAGCTAAATTTGCTTCTTCTAGATTCTCCGAAACCTTTAGAAAAAAAGAAAAAGAAATTATTAATACGTAATATTTATAGAAGGTAGATAATCTAATAAGATATTAATGTGGATTACTGGCTCACCATGGCTAAGTAAAAAATCGATCGATATTACGTAATTGGATATAAGTACTAACAACACTACTTCTTAGTTAAATCAAATTTGCGCAGATAATTAAAAAATGGCCAATCTAATTATTGAAGAAGTTAGTTAAGAAAATTATTAAAGTGTGTTTGGAGCAGTATAAAAAGAATAGAGTGAGTTAAAGTGTTAAAAAATAACAAACGAAACTAATTTACTTACCCAACCGGAGCTGAGTTCATAATAGGGACATGGACCGGTAAGAGGGATCATTCCTCGAGCAATATACATTGGCTTTCCATTAGCATCAAGAGCCCCAGCAACCAGGTTCCTTGAACGAATATCAGGAGTACTTATATGAACCCATTCGCACTCAATTTTATTCCTAAATAAATTAAAAACATTAGACGATTATGATATCCCCAAATGTGGAGAATAGATAGTGAGGGATTGATAATAGATTTCAACTCACCAGACCCTTCGATCCAAACAGAGAATTTTTCCGTAAGCAAAATCTTCTTCCCTACCTTCAATTCCAGCGTAGAATGATCGGTTATTTTCCACATACTTGCAGGGTATTTCTCCATGGCAAGTCTCTACCAGACCGACATGAATTGGAAGGTGGAGCTCGTGTATATCAATAGCTCCCTCTGGTACTGGAGTCGAGACTAACTTCCAATGAAATCCTCTTGGCAGACATCCTTCTTGTTCAATCTCTGGTTCTTCGATTTTTGGGGGTACGTTTTCTTCAACATGATCATGTTCAGGTTCCAGAACAGAGGATTCACATTGCTGTTCGTGGTGTTCCTGAGGCTGACTACCTTCAGCATGGTTTAATTCAGGTTCAGTACAATTGGAATCGATTTGCTGCTCATATTCATGATATTCTGGTTGCTTTTCCTCTTGATGTTCTTCATATTGTATCACTTCAGTAGAACTCGGTTCCGTAAAACTAGAGTTAATTTGTTGCTCATGCTCGTGATTCTCTTCATGCGGCTTTTCTTCGACAATGTATTGATCAGTCTCTTGTTGTACGCCAGGTTCATCTTCTTGAATATGTTCCATAACAACAGATGATTTCTGAGTATCTGCTGATTCTATTTCAAGTTCCGGTTGAGGAACGCTCTCACAAAGTACCTCAGTCACTTGAGGAATATCAGGTTCAAGGAGCCCATTGTGTTCAGAGATTTTTTCTGATTGCTGAGCTATTTCACAAATAGGTTCGTCCGAATGGGGAATAACTGATTCGTCTACTTCATGATTCTCAGCAGTTGTCCCTACTTCGTAATGGGCCTCATTTTCATTGAGTCCACCTACATTATCGAAATTTTCATGAGGGACCTCTGATAAATTTGCAGGTACATCATTTTGATGATTTTGCTCTGTTTCAGTCTTAAAATCAGGTACAGCCTCATGATCATGTTGGTCTTCTGCTTTGACAGGCGACTCAGGTTTAGCCTCAACATGATTTTTAGATTCAATTGATTTTATTTTATCATGGCATGCATCTTTGTTGGCTTCTTCCTTCTTTGGCAAGGGAGCCTTGTCTTTATGAAATTCTAAAAATAGCCACAAAATTCGATCGATTAAAATCTTCCATTGTAGTAGTAGAAGATGCAAGTTAATCAGAACAGGATGATTCACATCCTAGTTAGCAATGAAGCCAACAAATTATCGATTTGTGAATTAGTATGAAATTTATAAATTAGACAAAGGCGTTTAGCATAAGCTTTAACTTACTCTTTATCTTCTTTCGAAACGAAGGAAAACAACCAACTGGCATTGTCAAATTGACTAAAAAAGCGAAGTTTAAATGCTCGTAAGTTCGACGAAGGGGGAAAAACGAACAAATGGGAATGGGTGGAGATAAAATTTGTCTGGCTATTTTTAGTAATAGGGATTCAATTCCACTAATGATGCACCATTCCAAATGTTCGTTATATCTGATTACACGTGGAAGTGAGATGAGCCTGTATATTCTAATTTGAATGAAATTCCTTAAATATTATAACCGAGAATATCTCCAAGGCAATACACCAAGCATGGATTTTAATTCTACATTCTGTTTGTGTTAATCAGGGCTGACATTTAATATAACCTTTAATATTTTCCTGTTACTTACATTCATAGGTGATTCACAACTACCAGAAAATACCTGATGGAATGCATTCTGATCAGAATGACGAGTTAATTTACTAAAATTAAAAGACCTCTAATTCAATTTATGGAAGTTTGGTTGGAAAGTACAAATTTTTTAAACTTATTCATATTAATTCTTTCCTAATTACACTGCAAATTTTCTTTTTTAATTTGAATGTTCTGAAATTCGAAGAAATTTTGTTCAAAACTGAATTGTTGAATGATCTATTATCACTCCTAATAACTCTGAACATTAATTGTTTTCTTTCAAAATAAATCCAGGGAGCTTAATGTGGTCATTCAAACATAACAAAAATCCATAAAAACAGTCAAACGAAAATGACGTCCATTTGTATGGAATCTACTTTTTTATGTTAACCAAGGAATGAGATAAATATCGATAAGCAATTTTTCAAGCTTTACAATGGGATAAAAATAAATTTCCGAAATTTCATGGGTGAAAGTTAACATGAAATTAAGAAAATGGTAGGCCTTAAGGCCGCAAAAGTAGATATATAATAAGAACCAAAAATAGAACAATCCAGAAAATTAAAATTAAGAAGAAAACACCTACACGAATCACGTTGTTCTTTGTAGATGGAAGTGAATGGTACATGCAAATGTTTTATAAGCAGTCCTGTATGCGTGAACGACCGTCAGCCAATCAGAATCGTGGCACATCGTACACATTATTTTGAAAGACTCCTTATTCAGGATGGTCAAAATAGATAGTTATTTCCGATTGTAGAAAAATTTTTTTAACTTTTGCTAAAAGTAGTACGGAACATTCACACCAGAAGATAAATTGGAAGATTGCAAATTTACCTACTTAACATGTGAGTTAACCAATGATAGATGGCTTAGAACTATAACATTACCTGAGATTCTATGGATAAAGTTATTGGTAAATAGGCTATCACCATAGTTTAGAATTATAAATTTGCTTATTCAACGATTTAAAGAATTCTGGCTGTCAGAAGTGGTATGATTTATTGAATTTTATTTATTTGGCTGGATGAACCGAATGGGTCGATTTAATCCAAAAGTTATAATAGTCTATACATTTAATAGTTAGTAATAATGAATGAAGATGGTTTCCCACACGTTAGTTATTGAGTTCCTAAGATGTACAAGGAGTCGAAAAAAAATGGAAGTACTTTCTAAACTGTTAAGTTATTAAACACCATCGAATTATTACACGTCTCAAGCTCATTATTTAAAATAGATGGACCAGGAGTATTCGAATCAAATCACTAATTCAATGGGGGGGGGGGGTTACATATCTTTCAATATAGAGTGTTTTGGAAATGAGAAGTAATCATATTCAATTTTGGGCTCAAAGAATAGATTGTTTTAGTTAAAATTAGTGCCTTGGAGCCTTTTGATCAAATAATTAAAGTAATTTTGGCATGTCCATTTAACTCCTAGGGAGGTTCTATCCCAGTTCTCTTCTCTTTATTCGTCATACTTTAAATCCTAATCGCCCTACGAACTTTCCCATTGTCTTGACCATTCCAACGGTCTTTGCCAACTCTCTACCCATGAACATCCCACTCACCAGTAACCTTTTTCTTAACCCTTTCCTCTCGGCTACTAGTTTGCTTTGGTTCGACTCACACGCCAACCTGCAGCTTTTAGTACCGAAGGCTACTTTCAGCAACTAATATACACTCCACATCTACTGCCAACTTTCTTCCTTTTCTTATCATTTGATTAAAGCCATTCCTAATTTTTTTGCATAATTCATGAGATTAAAAATCTTGTGATACAATTCCTTTTCCCTTTAAACTGACGACCGTTTGGTCTCATTTCACTAGGACTACATTGTCCGTTAGATTTCTCTCTACAGGTATTTTAGGATAATCATTTTCAATGAAGTTTAGTTTTGAAGAGGAACTAGTGATATTTGTAACTGACATCGGATCTAATTGAGTTATCACGATGAAAGTGTCTTTCTGGATTGCAGTAACTGGTTACAGACGATTCTCCGTTTAACAAAATAGGGATCGGTATTTAACGCAAAGTAAATTAAACTCTCTGAATCCTTATTTATTTTACACGTAATTAATTAAAATGTTGTGCATTCACTGACAACATTTTAAATGGGCTTTGTTGTGTGACAACACCTAATATGGCATACATACACTTCATTAATTATTCACTTGAAGTTCATTATTTAATAAGAAAGCATGATTAATTGCCAATTTGAAGGTTTCACGATTCAGAGCCTTCAGGTTAGAAGCATTACACAAGATTCTTTTACGTCCGTTTCGGGATTCTTCAAGGTTTTCCTTACCTCTTGGATATTTTTATAGCACGTAAAGTCACCAATATCATCTTAGCCTCTGCATCTGTCTTGGGATAAGATATCTAATGCGAATTGGTAAATAAATGCACTTAACTCTAAGCGTGTTTTCTGTTCTTTTAGCTCTAACAGCAATTGTCATAATATTTTAGCTACTATTTAAATTAGCTCTCCTATTCAACCACTATATTTATTTATATCAAATGGCAGGCGTTTTGATGGCTATCATTAGCCCTTTAGCTGACTTCAGGCTTCACAGAGGGGAAGGAACATCAAAGAGAAAAAAAAGTCGAGATGGTGGGAGGGGGTAACAGAAGACTGATTCAAAGATGTAAAAGAGACAGACACAAAGGTAAGAAAAAGGTGATGTGAGTACTGTGGAAGTAGTCGAATATGACATACAGTGGGATGTTCTGGTAGTTTGAAGTGAGAAGTCAACTGCCGATTAATAGAATTTTTTGCCGTATGTGTATACGTTGCCCAGGGTGCACCACGTGGAGGTAAGTCTATCGCACACCCCTCAACCACTATATCTACTTCGTCCTGTGCATAAGTCTTCTTGAGGCTTTGCCAATTACCAATTCTCAATATAATTAACTTTAAAAAAACCAACTAGACAATTCGGTTTACAAAGCTCAAAACTTTCTTCATTATTCACGCTCTCTCAACTCGAATTCTGCCATTCTTCTTACTTGAGAGGCACTTGAACTGGTTAAACCACAGAGGGTAAGCATATCTATGGCCAATATTGACTACGAATAATAATAATAATAATATGCAATTAAGATGAGAGTTAAATTTGAAAGTTTAAATATGACACAATCTAAAGAACAATGATAAAAGAAGCATTAAGAGTGTGATTCTCGAAACCATTTACTATGGACTGTGATTTAAGGAGTTAATTAATATCCGAATAAAAATCAACATTTAGTATTAATTTGATCGTGAATTTTAGGCAACACTTAATACGTCACTTGCTCTTTGGCTATTCAAAAGTACATATGCCCAGGAGGACTGGTTCTTCAAATAGGATTTATAGCAATACCTAAGTGCCAAAATTGTGGGAAATTGAATCCCCTCGACTCAGGCGACTTCTTGCCAATCCCTATATGTAGTCACGCGCACACACAAATGTCAATTAAATAATTTCCTCCACCACCCCTCCCCACCCTTCCGCCTCCACCTGGAGAAAATAGCTTCCCATAAAAGGCTATTTTGCCTGAAGGAGCGGAATAAGGTCGGTTGTGTACAGATGTGGTAATTAGGCCAAATGAAAGACGCTTGTTCATCAATCATACTGACTGCACCTCCCCC